CCCGATTGTCGGTGAGACTGAGTCGCTTGGCCAGCGTGCTCACCTCCATGCTGCTGAGGTACTGGGTGGCGGCAAACTTGGCCTCCAGTTCGGCCACCTGGGCGGAGGTGAAGGGAATGCGAGGCCCTCGGTTCAGCGTCTTGCGCTGCTGTTTGCTGCTGGGGGTGCCACTTTTAGGTCCTGCTGATGAGGTGCTGCTGCAGTTGCTGTCGGTTGATTTAGGTGAGCACTTGCTGGTGTGATCAGTTTCAGCAGTGGTGGTGGTAGTAGTAGTGGGTGAGTGATTGACTTTGTAAGGTGATGAGGATGAGGATGAAGTGTTGTACTGAAAGTAGTGGGAGTTGTGCAGTTGTTGCTGTGATGATAACCAGGGGAAGGGGGAGGAGGGGTCGCACAGGTGGTGATGGTGCTGATGGTACGGCTGCACTGGTGGTGCTGGTGGTACTTCGTAGCTGCCATTTCCAAGAGATGCCATTGACCAGGCACTGAATTGAGCACTGATGCTGCTTGTGCCGGGCACTTTTGGAGCCAGCTGCACTGATGACCGAGTGCTGCTGCTGCTGCCTCGGTCATTCAGTATCGAATCGATGCTGAAATCAGTGGTGCTGCTGCTGCTGTTTGGCGAGCATCTCTTTGGGGCTCGATTGTGGGGGTGGTTAGTTTGTTGGGCTGACTCTGGCCTATTCATTTGATGATGATGGTGGTGATGATTGCTGGCGGCCAGAGCGGCGGCTGCTGCTGCCAGCTGAGGGCCAAAGACCAGAAAGNGGCTGGTGGAGTTGTGCTGATGGAAGCTGTTGGTGCTAGTGCTGCTGCTGCTGCTGCTGCTGGTACATCGGCACCGGAGACTCCCATCGATGCTGCCTCCTGAAGGTAGTCATGTCCCGATGGTGGCAGTGGTGATGATGATAATGGTGACAGGTGATGACCACCGCCACTGTTTTCCTCCTCGTGGCCCTCCATCACCACCACCACCTCATCGTCGACTTTCATTCTCTTTGGCTGCAGTTGCATTGCTTCTCAATGAACGAATGAAGTGCTCCTCGACTTCTTCGTTATCCCCACGATATTTTGTTTGTCGATGGTTAATGTGATTAACTATTAATAATTGTGCAGTGTCCAGTGAGCTCTCTCTCCTCTCCTCTGCTAATCTCTTTGCTCCTCCTTTTGCCGGTGTCCCCTCCACTCAGCCACTGCTGCTGCTG